TTGGACCAAGGACAAGCAGCTCAAGATCCTGTAGATCCTCAAGGCAGCCCCTCACACCACAAAATCAATCACTGCCATATGCTCATTCAATAGAAATTATCAAGCTTCAATCTCAACTGGCAGGCAATGCACCAAACAATGAGACCTCTCTTCTTGCTTTAAGCTTTACTGATTTACGTGATATAAGTGATCAACTTTATATTGACTTATCTCAATCTCTTGTAAGTACACCTAATAATTCAAGAGAAATTACATAATCTTGCATTAATCCTACTACATGTCAGCCTCTCCCTCAAGGTCACCAAATGATCACAATAAGGAAACTTACACAAAATCCTAACCTTGACTTAAACCTACAACAAGAAGTAAAGAACCTAAGAGGGATCTCGAGACAATACCAGATACATCTCATATCACACCTTATGGATGAACCAAAGACCTATAAAACAGCCAAACAGATTCCTCATTGGCAACATGCAATGGAAGAAGAAATGCTAGCTTTACGAGAAAACCACACATGGATTTTGTCCCCAGGCCTCCTAATGTCAACATTATCGGCTTTAAATGGGTATACAAGACCAAAACCAAATAGGATGGCACCATTGAAAGGTACAAGGCTCGCCTAGTTGCTCAAGGATATACACAAGTTGAAGGCATTGATTATAGTGAAACCTATAGCCCAGTAGTTAAACACATTACTATACGTCTTATCCTTGCTTTAGCTACAACAGCTGACAGGACCCTTCGCCAACTCGACGTGAAGAACACTTTTCTCCATGGAATCTTAAAAGAAAGAGTATATATGGCTCAACCTCTAGATTTTGTTGATCTTAATCTTCCTTCTCATGTTTGTAAGCTTAATAAATCACTGTACGGACTAAAACAGGCTCCTAGGCTCCTAGGGCTTAGTTCGATTGATTATCTCAATACCTCCTACATATTGGGTTTGTATGTTGCAAGTCAGATCCTTCCTTATTCATTTTTAGACAAAATTCTGTACTTACACGAATGCTTATCTATGTGGACGACATCATAGTCACAGGAAAAGCTCATATTTTATTCAAACTTTCATACTTAAACTTAGCTCTGAGTTTGCCCTAAAAGATTTAGGAACTTTGCACTATTTTTTGGGTGTAGAAGTACAAACATGTTCTAATGGTATTACCTTATCACAGGGAAAATATGCAACAGACCTCTTATCTAAGGCAAAAATGCCAGATGCCTCATATTTGAACACACCTATGGCTACTTCCATCCTATGGCTACTTCCATCAACACATCCAATGATGATCATGATCTAGGACAAACCAACTATATGAAGGATTTACGAGCTACCAAGAGAATATTACGCTACATCAAAGGAATATTACGCTACATCAAAGGAACGATATACTATGGTATTAAATTCCTTAAGCACAGTTCACTTAATCTTTATGCCTTTTGTGATGCAGATTGGGGCGGTTGTCCTGACACGAGGAGAAGCACCACCGGATTCTGCATAATCCTTGGATCAAATTGCAATTGCATCTCATGGACTTCGAAAAGGCAACCCATAGTATCTAGATCTAGTTCAGAAGCCGAGTATCGTGCTATGACAACCACTACTGTAGAGATCACACGGATTACGTTCCTTCTTATAGACATTGGTGTTCAACTACTCAAGACTCCACAACTGTTTTGTGATAACATCAATGAACTATATATGACAATCAATCCAAAGTTCCATGCAAGAACCAAGCATATTAAACTTGACTACCACTTTGTTCGTGAGAAAGTGGCACTCAATAATCTCATTACTCGATTTGTCCCCTCTAAAGACCAACTTGTAAACATCTTCACCAAACCGCTTCCCAAGACTTCTTTTCAGTTGCTAAGGAACAAATTTGGAGTTCTGCTAACTCCTCATTCCAATTTGAGGGATCTTGATAGAGCAGAATCGTGTGCCCCTAAATTTAAGAGATCTTCTTGTAATCACACCCGTCCAGCCACCTCAACCTCCAATCCCTCAATTACAGAAGTTCCTATATATTCTCTCTTAGAGATTGACCCTCAAAATCTCCTCGTATATTATTATTCTCTTAATTTGTTTTCCTAATTGGTGTTGTATATTTTTCATAAAGGAGGATTGTATTACCATGTTTAGTCAAGGCTGATTGCTTGCACTTATGGTTTGAAATCCATTGAAAATAAAACTATCATCTTGTCTTTATTCATCCACTAACTCCCAGGTGTTATTTTTCATCAGAGCTGAATATTCTTCTTCCATAGCCTTTCGCCAGTGACTATGTTTCAATCCTTCTCTTGCTGTCGTAGGTTCTACCTCTTTAAAATTTTTTAGGTACACTTTATGTTTAAAAATGTGTTATCATGGCATGTGTATTCGAGGAATGAGGAATGAGAAACAGTAGATGAGACAATATTTTTTTTGTAAAGAAAAAAGTCATAGGCCTCCTTGAATCCTGAGAAGGAATCGTAGTAATTATTGTCCGTTTTTAACCATTCAAAGTGTGAGAAAAGCAAAAATAAAACGTTCGATTCTTTTTACCCCTCCTTTCGAAGCCTACATTTACACAAAACTAACTACGACTTTCAAATCTGCATTTACAAAACTAGTTAGCAATCTCAAGTATGTATTTATAGCAAACGAACTAGCTAGCTACTACTCAATATTCATTTACACCAAAGACGAAACGAAACATAACTAGCAATCTCCAACTACAGCTTTACACAAAGCTAGTTGTAAAACAAATTCGACGATAATTTTATTACGGAACAAAATTTTACAATTGCAAATAAAGTTTATATCTTCAACCACATGATCATAAAAAGACTACAGTCACATTGAACTGAATATATCTTCATTAACTCATAAATAAAACTTAATAACAAAAAAAATATCCTTAACATATCATGTACTTGAAAATGTCTATAAATATAACAAAGTCTAACTCGCATACGCATATGGAACAAGAAAAGTTCTTCAGAAATATGCATCACACGAATTATCCAATAAAATCACTTCACTCCCAACTCGAATCTCATTGGCCGTCTATTGTTCATGTCTCGTCTGGATATAGTATATTATAAAATACTATGAAAAACTAAAAATATTAATAAGTATATAAATGAGAATTAACATAAAATTTGTCCAATATCAATAAATATCGCTATGAGTTATTATATCTTGCATAACCTTCATTGTATAGTACCTATATTTTGTACTTCTCTGTATTTAGAAAGACATATCAGACAATACTTCTCTTTTTTTTAGAACATGGTAAATGAATCAGTAAGAGATAAACTAATGTTCGAATTAAACAAGTAATACTTGTTGGGAAAAATATATATACACAATAATATAAAATATCACTAGTTCTCAAGGAAGAACAATCCAACAGGATCTAACTAGTATTTTTGAGCAAGTCACAGTTCTATCAAGTACGAGATAGGGATAGAAAAGCAAACACCAGAAAATATACTGGTTCACTCCAAGCTCGGAACTACGTCCAGTCTTTTGCAATATGCAGGTTCCACTATAATGGGAAGATTACAATGACCTTTCTTTGTTTTATAACACTCTCTAGATGCTAAACAGTAACCACCTAACTTTTAGGCACTGCAACAATAACTACTTGAGGATATATAATGAAAAACCTCACAAGAATCGCGACAACGAATTGCCGACCGACCATACTCTCCAGGCCAAGATCTCGATTTCTCTTCCTCTGCCGGCCGGTAAAAATGGCCGCCACCAGCCTCCCTTTTTTTGCTTCTCTCTCCCACCGTGCAAAAGTTCATATATATGTAAAAATTGAGCAAACTTGATAGAGAAGGAAAAATTGAAGCTTGGGCCTTATCTTTTAGTTGGCCCAACAACAATTAATCATTCTCTTTCTTTTTGTCTCCACCATTCCTAACAATACTTGCTGTTGTTCATAAGGAACAAAGAGAAGGAAGAAAATAGGACAATAACTACTAAAGGAGATGACCATGTTATGAATCTATCTTAGGAAGGTGTCCTGAAAATTACTTTCATTATTTGTATTTGAGTTATCTGAGATGAAAAAGACATAGAAATGGATCTTGTAAAAATTTTTAAATTATGAAATGCTTGAACATAAAAGAAGGTAATTGACACAGATACAAATCTACTCTACTGGTCAAAAGCCACAGAATTGAGCCTACCTACTATATAATGCCCTTACATAATTTCTTAATTTGGCATTGTTTCTACTTTAATTTCTTTGGCATTCTCCACAAACAAAACAAAAGCAATCAAAGATAGAAAAGTTGTTATACAAATAATTGATTGATTTAAGACAACTGGTAAAACCAAGATATAAATAAGCTTTCTGCCTACATACTACCTGAGTTCAGTCCGGTTGCTTCAACTCAAGAAAAGCTAAAAGAAACTACAATACAATAAGAAATATTTCCATGTGTAAAAATAATAGCATGATCAGGCTTTCCTTTGTCCTACTTTGGATCTCCAGGCAATTTGATGGAATATAGCTCCTACACAATGGGAAAAATATAGCAAAATTAATAAATTATTCCAGAGGTATAAGATAGAATAAAATTCTCATTCAATATGTTGATTTCATTCTTCAATATATGAAAATGGCAGCTTCCTTTACCCTTAAAGGAAAATGAGTCTTTGCTCCTCAGCTTTAGAAGTAAGAGATTGGGAAACCAAGAGAATGCTTTCCGCTTTTCGAACGAGATATAGAAGAAGTTATCTTAAGGGGTCTCTTCTTGCTGAGCTTGAATACTGTCATTATCATTCGAAGTCTATTTTTTCGTTCTTTGAATGGTGCTAGTGATCACAAATTCCTTTCAGCGGCAGGAAGATACTACTTCAGTGTTCCCAGTGCATCCTTCTTATCCCTAAGAATTGACAAAATCTAACTAATTGCAACAAATCTACATTTAGTTGTTATTATAGGTTCAACCAAAATAGAGATAATCACGTACAAAGCCACCTCACCATACTCAGTGTGCTACCTTAATACCCCCAAGCCAATGACTTCGGGAGAAAAGAAATTGAGCTTGTCACAAATAGGAAGAAAGGTTTTTGCTGATAAAGGTTTAGTAAACACATCTGCAATCTGCTCAGTTGAAGGAAGATGCATAACAACCAACTTCTTTTGGAGAACTAAATCACCAACGAAGTAAATATCTAACTCAACATGTTTTGTTCGCAAGTGCAAAGTTGGATTCGCACTAAGATGTACAGCCTCCAAATTGTCACACCACAATACTGAAGGTTTATTGGAAACAATGGACAGCTCCTTTAAACGAGAATGCAACCAAATAAGTTTTGTGGCAGCATTAGCAATGCAACAAAACTCAGCTTCAGTGCTTGATCCTGAAATAATGTGTTGCTTCATGGATCCCCAAGTAACAAGATTACCTCCAAAATATATACAATAGCTGGAGGTGGACTTCCTATCATCTAGGTTGGAGGCCCAATCGTCATCAGCAAATCCATGGATATTAAGATGAGAAGGTTTAGACAACAACAAACCATGATGTAGTGCACCTTTCAAGTAACGAAGGATCCGTTTAACCGCTTGCCAATGAAGAAGCGAAAGTTGATGCATAAACTGACACACACGATTAACAACATAAGCGATTTCAGGTTGTGGTCGTGTAACTGTGACATATTGTAAGGAGCCAACAATACTTCTATAAAGAGATGGAGCAGGAAACAATTCGCCACCTTTAGCTGAAAAAACAGAGCTACTAACCACGGGTGTTGAAATGGAGTTCCACTAAAAACCGTAATGGAAAGTCAAGTACATCCTACCACAGCGTTCCGAAAATGCTATGGAAAGTCGATAATATTGTTTTTCTAATGTTATTGAATGTGATATTTGTTGTAGTGTTCATAGACATATGTTTCCCATGATTATCCTTTGAAACCTTAAACCAAATGACCCGTATTATGGACAATAGTGTTCTTCAGATAATCGAGCCAAAACATATTACCCGTGTCCTACAAGGAAAAATCTTTTCAACACTACTACAAATTCCTACAAGGAGTAGGATATTTTTTTTTATCTTATAAGGATTACAATATTATTATCCAATCAGGATTAGGATATTTGGCTTTCTATAAATAGAACCATTTTGTTAAGGTTTTATTTATACAAAATAAAAATAAAAGAGACTTGAGTGGTTGTGGGTAGTGTGTGGAAAGAAGTTTGTATCTCGTGGGTTTAGTGAGGGTGTTTTCAATTGTGTAATCTTAGGTAGTCATTATTACGGTACTTAGAAGCAAGATAGTCATTATATAGTGACATATTGAGTGAGATCTCAATTATAATATTCTCAACTATAATAGAACCTGCTTCTTTGCAGAAGAATGGACCTAGTCTCAAAACTAGGGTGCAGATCCCTATGTTTGGACTTTGAATCTGTGTTGCCCTTCTCAGGGCGGCTTGATTTCTTATGGTTGGACCTCTTTTTGTCCGACTTGTCTTGGTCTTTAGCAACTCTTAAATATAATGACCTTCTTGGCCTTTTACAATACCTCAATGAAGGTGGCTGGAGCTTCCTCACCTAATCTCATTTGTTAGGTCGGTGAGGAAGTAACACATTGTAGAGTCAGTCGTTCCTCTTGGAACCTATTCACATATTCCTTGAGCGTCTCACCTTCCTTCTGTCTGATGGTGGAAAGGTGAGTCGTCGTTTTCTTGTCATAATGTCGAGCCTAAAACTGACTGATGCGCTCTTTTCTCAACTAACTATAGGTCAAGATCAATCTTGCTGGAAGCTTTCGGTACCACATACGAGCTCTTCCCATTAGAACAATCTGGAACGAGTGACATTTAATAGCGTCTGTGGCTGCTTGGAAGTCCATGAGGCCTTCAGAGACCTTAACATAGTTTTTTGGTCCTTAGACCTATCAAAGAGCTCTATAGCGGGTGTCTTGAACTTGTTCGAAATAAGGGGCGTCTAGGATGTCCTAAATGAATGGCAACTCGCTCAAGTCGAACTCTACTTAAGGGCTTCGACCTAAGCGTCGAATTTGCTCTTCATCAAGTCGAACTCCTCCCTCATAATTACTCCTTGTAGCTCAATAGGAGTATATCGCGATTGGGCTTGGGGAGGCATCTGCACCCTTAAAGATGGAGCTCTTCCCTTTTTTGTCCACAAGATACTTTCGTAGGTCACCCTCACGACTGTAATCAGCTTCATCATTAATAGGATTGTCGTCCTCGTCAGCAGGGTGTTGACTGTTGTTTCGCGTTTCACCCTAGAAGGTCACTCTTCGTCCCCCTCCTGATACGACGTAAATCCCGTAGCGGAAATTATGATCTTTGTTCTTTAATTTTTAGGAACAAAACCCACGAATTTAAAAGAAAATCACATGGGGAAAAAGACTTACTTTTGAGGAACCTTTCTTCAAGCAATCACCAACGAACACCAATCCGTTTCAGCACCACCGGTCTTCCCACTATCCTCTGGGAACGAAGATCTTGCTTGTGTGACAAAGATTGGAGAATGCCAACCCTTGAAGGAAAAAACAAATTCATTCTGTTTTTGTAGAAGTGTTATGCAAAACCAAGTATGACGTGGGGTAACTCCCCACATCATAACTATCCCCCACTCCTTTGCAATTTAAGTACGGTAGTGTTAATATTAATTATTAATTAATATTAATATTAATAATTAATAATTAATAGGGGAAACTTGAGATATAGCAAAAAAAAGTTAGGAAAATAAGCAAAATAGCAACAAGGTTTGGGTTTTTCAAATATAGCATTTTTTTTTTGCAAAAAAACGGAGGCCCATGTTCTAAAAGACAAATATGCCCTGCAGGCCCGAACCAACAATAAATTACTTCTGATTGACTTCTGATATACTAATGATTGATAGATATACTTCTGATATATATGTGATATATGTTTAATATACATATGGTATGAAATTGATTTATTTATGATATAACTATGATATCTACTACTATAGGTGACATAGAATTGATTGACTTCTGATATACTATTGATTTACTTATGATATAACTATGATTGACAGATATACTCTTTATATATATGTGATATATGTTTCACATATATTAGATATGAAATTGATTTACTTATGATATAACTATGATATATACTACTATAAGTGATATAGAACTGATTGACTTTTGATATACTATTGATTTACTTATGATATAACTATGATTGACAGATATACTTCTGATATGTATGTGGTATATGTTTGATATACATATGATATGAAATTGATTTACTTCTGATATAACTATGATATCTATTGCTATAGGTGATATAGAACTGATTGACTTCTGATATACTATTGATTTACTTCTGATATAACTATGATTGACATATATACTTCTGATATATATGTGATATATGTTTGATATACATATGATATGAAATTAATTTACTTTTGATATAACTATGATATCTACCAATTATTTCGAACATATTACCTCTAATATATGTTTTCTGATATACTACTAATATATGAAATAGTTTTTTTTTTCAGATAAAAGCAATGGTACAAACACGAAAAATGAAATAAAAGAACATCGTCGAAAATGTTAATGTCGTTCGTCCCAAAAGACAACATAAACCAATGCCAAAAGTGTTGTCTATGGAAAAACGGAAAGCTTCAAAGATATTATCTCCGAAGACACGACAATCACCAAGGACGAAGATTGATGTCCCAAGCTTTTACCTAAAGATTATACAGGCATGAAACTTACGCTTTTCTAGAATGTTGGAAATTATGCTTATGAAACTTATGCTTCTTCTTTTATAGAATTTTAAGAATGACATTGTTAGTCTACTTTTGGTTTATGCTACTGGTTCGTTTTGATGTTTAAACATTTAAGTTTTTGGTTGAAAGACTTTGTTGCTGATTTGATGTTGATGTTGATACCCAATAATGATATTTAAAACTTTTAAGAATGCCATTGTTGCTAATTTCATTTTGATCTTTAAAACTTTAAATAAAACTTAATTGTACTATTGATATATGTACGATGTATACTTGATATATCACTGATATATTATTGATATACAGAAAAACCTTATGTTTCTCTTTACCTCTAATTTCTAATTGATTTCTCATTTCCTTTCAAGTTTTCTTTCTCATTTTCAGTAAATATCAAATTTTTTTCTCATTTTCCATACATGYCAATACCTACTAATTTCTAATTAATCAAAAAAATAAAAGACAAAGGGTTAAAACAGGTAAAATAGTGATTTACTATTATAAAACTGATATAGAACTAATTGACTTCTGATATACCATTGATTTACTTCTGATATACTAATGTTGTCAGATATACTCCTAATATATATGTGATATATGTTTGATATATAATAACAAATCGATAACTGAAAAGGATAATTTGGGAATACTGAAAATTTTAAAATCAGGATTTTCAAAAAAATGTTATATCTGAAAATATGAAAAAAGCATGCTATTTTGTTAAATATAGAAAACTTATATGCTACCCATTACAAATCCCCTAATTAATATATATAATATTAATTAATTAATTATTAATCTAATTAACAATTAATTAATATATATATATATATATATATATATATCAAATAAATAATTAAGACTTAATTATTTATTACAAAAATAGAATCATATTCTAAAGCATTTCTCTCGTATAACCTATAGTCGTAATGTACATCTTATGCACATTATTTTTAACCTATAGTTTATTAGGAATCCAATTCATATTAATTATTATTTGAATCTCATTCAAATAATTCCTCTCATAATTAATTTTGAATTTTTATCCAAAATTAATATATATTTATATATAATGTATCAATATACATTATATACGTTCCCGTATATAATTTGAACATTTCAAATTATTTCATTATTCTTGATCCTCGTTTTACCCGTTGTGAGCTAGCAAAGGGACTTAATGGACCTATATATCAGAAGCTTCAACGATATGAGATTAATCAGTCAAACTCATTGACCGAGTTAATCAACATTCGTTAACTACGGGTCACTCCATTAAAGACCGTACCCGTAGTTGCACTCTTCTCACTGCAGAATATTTTCGTGTCCACGGATATACGACCATTAATAGCAAGTCAATCCTTCACGAGCGTTCGTAACAATAGATGGGTCAAATTATCGTTTACCCTTGTGTTACATCTTACTCCTTAAATACCACTGTTCCTCTAATGAACAACCCGGTTATGGTCCAACCAATAACCAAAGGTCCCTCTCGGGCCAGTGAGAGGGTGAGATCGCTTGTTCAAGTCCTAGAGTCAGCATTTGAGAGAACACTCATCTACTCCCGAAAGTCGAGGAGAAGTGAATTCCATCTCGTGAAATTATGTTCACAGCACCCCACTCGGTCTCGTCCCCAAAATGGTAGGAAGATTGAGTCGGCAACTCAGGCCACTCTCACCCATACAGATCAAAGGACGAGCCCTCACGGATAGGAGTCCATAACTCACTCAGGATTGAGAATGAGTTGTCTGGTCATCCTATGAAATAGCAATCTGTTAGTCAACGACGTTACATCTAAAGATCGACTATTTCGTGCTCCGGTCTTATACAAACTCATTGTATTGGATACCCCCACTCACATATCTCCACACAAACGACCTGGATAGGGTCGTCTGTAACATTTACAAAGTGAGTTGTATCGATAGTGTTGTCAGGATAAGGTGCAAAACCTTATCCATATACTATAAACCCCTTAGGTTATTCTCGGGATATTATCTACTTGTATATCGAGAGTATATCAAATATATACCCAATACATATACTGTTCCGGTTACATGATAATAACCTTAGATGTTTAGTTTATTAGATTTTAGACAATGCAATGGAATGAATTCAACAACAAATTGATTGAATAAAACTTTATTGAATATAAATTTGTTTTTACATTAATTACAAACTACGAGTTTAGGGCAACAAACCCAACACCTCCAGGTTCCGAGAATGAGAGCCCGTTATGATTGAATACAATAAATTATTGTATGATTCCACCATGCTTCGCACTCGAGTACGCATGTCTTCTAACTCGAGTTGCATGGCAGCCAGAACATCAAGATCCACATGGTGAGGAAGCTTCCATGTTGTCTTATTCGCAGCCCTTCCTCGTGCTCGGTTCGTAGTTCTACCTTGGCGAGGAGGGATAGGAGGAATGGAGGATATGCATTGTGGGTTGACCTACGGGTCTGGTCGCTCGCACGGTCGCCCAGCCACCAATCCTCAGCATCCTCTGTGTTTACCTCGCGCTCACTACATGAAAAAAGCCTTTTTGCGACGCAGTTTTAGCTATATGTTACAAAGCACGTCGCTAAAACCTATTTTCAGCGACACAGTCAGTTGCCTGGGTCGCTAAAACCGGACTTTCAGCGACGCCACGTGGACCGTGTCACTGAAAGTACTTTCAGTGGCGCGGCGTTGACTTTGATTGTCACTGAAAGTTGTTT